GATACAAGTGAACAGTGTATGTTCAGTCAGATTGGGTCTGTTTTCTATAGCTGAACTGGCTGCACTCCTTCCAATGTGAAGTAAAAAAGATAAACTCTGAACTAGTGCATCCAGTTCTCTAGAAAACAGACCCATTGTTCCTCTTTTTCCCCTACAAATAGATTTGCTTGCAAAGAAACTATAAATAATAATAATTATCTTTTATACTTTCAAGTTGGACAAAAGACAAGTCCCAGCAGTGTTGAGAGAGGCATTGGCGGTGGATGTCTATTTGACAAACGAGTTTGTCAAATTGGTGGAAAAGATCCTACCCTTAAGACAGTTAAAAGTACATTATAAAGTATTGGAGGTATGAATAATCATTTATTTCTCTATCACTACTACTGCGTTGTAAGCTTCTCTAATCGCATTTATTTGCGTTGCCTCTCTCTCTGTAGATATCATGCCACGGCATACCTTGGCTCGCGACGTCTCTCGTATTAATCTGGGTTCTCAACAGCAAATCCTTGTATCAAATGCAAATCAATCTTTTACTAGGTATGATTCAAGTAAAATTCTATTATTTAAAATTACTCGGGAATCGATTGAGATATATATAAGTAAGAAAATAATTTCAGGACTGTTGCTCGACATCATCTTGGTCACTGTGCTCAAGGCAGCTACGAGAAGGAGGCGACCGACCGTCAATGACGATCCATTCGCCATAGGTCCTGACAAATACGCCTTCCCATCCGGACACGCGTCTCGCGCTGCATTTGTCGTGTACTTTTTCTTCTATCTGTGGCCCGTACCCTGGTTATACACGCCGCCTTTGCTAGCGTGGCTCTTCTCCGTATGCGTATCCAGACTAATGATGCGAAGACATCACATATTGGACGTGGTCGCTGGCGTACTTCTAGGTAGCTTCGAGGGTCTAATTATAGGCTATATTTATCTGGAGCAGGCGACATGCGTCAATTTAATCTCCTGGATTACGGACGAAAATATGGATAACTGAATAACATGTGTGTAATCCATGTATGAGAGATGCATAAAATATTATATTGGACTGCCATATCGTTCACTGATATTAAGCCAATGTAAGAGTTTGAATGTTTAAACTGTATATATAGTTGTATAACTGTAATTATGTACAACTGCGATCTATAAATCAGAAAGTTAATTGTGTCAGATGTTTCCTTTTAAAATATTATTAATATACATATTATATACATATATCATTCGCGCTTCTTTTTTTTTATTGAATTAAACGCCGATTATTGGGATTTGGCCCGAGTCTTGCTCAATCAATTCCTCGGAGGGCCGCTTTCACCGGGCTCTCGTTGGCGGCTCTGGAACTCTGGAGTGGCTGGCTGGCTGGACTGGCTGGAGTCGCGCGCCCGCCATTTCCAGATGTCGCGAGCGCTCAAGGCCGCGGCGCATCCTTGCCTTCGCGGAATCGTCGTCCGGACGTGCGGATCATGAATTAAATCGCGTCTCTCGACCAGTGGCGGAAGGCGCAGTTTCCCCCGAAAGTGAACGCGAGGAGACGCGGACGAAAGAAGGGTTATGCCGCGGCCGTCCGTCCGTTTTCCAGTCCGACGGGCCGCAGTGGCGTAGTGCGCAAAGTGTCTCGCTTGTTGCACAGTTGCCAAGGCGACTAAACGTGCGTGCGTGCGTGCCTGCGTACGTCTGTGCGTGTGTGCGGCACCGCGTACCTGCGAGTACGCGGTGTATTATGATAAGAGACCGATCGCCGTCGTTATCGAGACGCAATTCTCGTGTCACCTTCACGTCGCCGACGACGACGACGACGCCGCCGCCGTTTCGATGCCCCGCAGCGACGTAGTCTAAACAGAGTCGCCGCGCATCATGGACTACCCGGTGTTGGGCCACTACGACCCCACAGTAGAGGCCACGGACCACGGTGGAGGAGCGGTCGAAGAGGAGCAGCAAGAGCTGCTCTGTGAGTATCCCGCTTCCCGCTTGTCGCGTCGTCGCGCCGAGAGACGCGCTGGACCTGGAGACCTGGACCGCGGAAAAATTTCCCGCGAGAATTCCTCTGCCCCGTCGCGTCGGTTCCCCGCGTCGCGTCTGTTTCTACCTTTCGCGACGTTCGTTTGCTTTCGAACGCGCGGAGCGTCGGCGTCGGCTCTGTCAGCTGGCATCAGCTGTTTCTCCGACACGAGCACGGCGAGGAATCGTCCGTTGTTTTCTCCTGATACAGCGATTATAAAAGATCCTTGAAGCAAATAACGAGCAAATTGTTTTCTTCTCCAACAGTCGCACACGTGTTCCACCTTATACGTTTAACCTTAACGTAAAAAAATTGTTTTGTATTTGTAGCTGATATCCAGGGATAAAATAAATTAGTCATCACATTAAAGAGCGTGTGTGTCTTGTTTTGATCTGTGCGGCAAGTGTGAAGTACTTGGAAATAAGCTTAGCCCCCCCTCGCTTCGATGAAAATATATATAATTTATAGAAACATGACTTATAAATTAGCAAAAGAGATAGTTCGTTATTTTATATTTTATTCTTACGTTTTATTTAATTATTTATGTTAGATAAATTGAAAATGAAAAGAATATTTGAGAATATTTTGCCAAACTTCGCGTTAGTTCGCAAATATTCTTATGCTTGCTGCTTTTGGAATAAAGACGTGTATAAAAAATAAACCTGCTCAATTCTTAACTGGTCGATTCTCATTCCAGGGGAGATTCCAGGGGAGGAATGTAATTATGTCGTACCTGGGGATGAGTATGTACCTGCGACGGAGCAGTTTGGAGAGGACTTTGCCGGGGCCGAGTTTCACGAAACTAGAACATTGCTCGCCGATGGCGGAGATAGATTTGGAGTTTCCACTGCCACTTTCGATACGGTCGAGGAGCTTATGTGGATGGGGAATCAAGGAGTACGTTATTGATATGGGGATATTATTTAACCGAGACACTAAACAATTACTAATGTAGTTTATTAACATCAATTTGTTATAGGGTCACGTAACATCCTACTATGGACCCGGTTTACAAAAGTATACCTCTTTTCAAGTCCATGCAACGCAGGAGATACGTCACATTCATACCGTAGATGAGGGTATCTTAGTGTTGACTCAGAGTCAGTTGAGATGTCAATTGCGGAGAGGCATACCTATATTTACCCACACGTATGTTTTACATTACCTGTTTTGTATTAGCAATGCTATCCACGGATTTGAGCGAACCTTGATTGTTGTAGATCGGTGAATATGAACGACATGCAGTGTATGTTGCAAATCTCTCCAAATCGACTACTTATGGGCGGACATCAGGATAAAATAATTGATTTTAATCTTACCAGAGGAAAGGAGACTGGATTAGTAAGAATCTATTAATTAAATGTTACGAATTAATTCCGAGTTACATTAATGCAATGGTTTTGCGTTATGTTTGTAGGTGGATGTAGATGAGAATGGTTGTGCGATATTGAGACAACACAGTAGACTTATCTGCGCTGGTAATCCTGTGGGAAGGATAGATCTCAGGGACCCAAATACGTTATCGGTAGAACATACTTTGGACACGCATAGTGGTTCTTTAAGTGATTTCGATGTTCAAGGAAACTATCTTGTTACATGTGGATTCAGCAACAGGTGAGGCATAAGATAATCAGAAGGTCTTTAACCATCTTATGTGCAATATATATATTTAATATATTCAAACATACACATACATGAATTGTATTATTTAGTCGGCAGGGTCTTACCGTCGATCGATTTTTAATGGCCTACGATCTGAGACAAATGAGAGCATTAAGTCCAGTCACGACTATGGTATATCCTCTTTTATTGAAGTTCCTACCAAGTTATTCCAGTCGTCTCGCAGTGGTATCGCCACTAGGACAGATGCAACTACTTGATACAATATATGCTAATGTACAACCGTCAATGACGTGTTTATATCAGGTAAATTTATCATATGTTCAGAATAAATGAAAAATTTGAATTAGGAATTTAAAAAATTGAGAAAAATATAGAGAATATACAGAAATATGTATCGTATTAGGTTGCTACTGGCGGAGCGGCGATATTGTCATTTGATGTAGCTTCCACATCTCAGTGTCTTTGCTTTGGAGACTTGGCAGGCTCTATACATTTAATGTCCACTAACAACCCGGAGCCTCAATTTAATACATTTTCTAGGTCAGCAAGTATTTTAAATCAATAAAAATTTTTATATACTGAAGTAATTAACGAACTATTTATATTATGTACATATATAAAATTGAGAACAATTAGAAAATGAATACATAGAGCTGATAATGAAGAATAATTAAAATTAGATTGGAAATGTATAATAAGCATATATTTTTATTTTACTTAGGCCTACGGAGTTCGCCGATCCAATTGAGACAATACCATCAATTCCTTTTGACGACGATGTTACACCGTATAGTACTATACCGATGGTATATTCAGATCAACCACTGCTAAGTGATTGGCCTGAAGAATACTTGAAAAAAATTTATAGGTAGGTATCTCCTATTAGTTCCCGTTTTTGTACAACCGAGAAGCAAGCAAATTGATTTTCATTCTTTCACAGGAAAACACCACCAATAGATCCCGAAATCTTGCGCACAATGAAAATGCAGGGAACAATTGGATACGCGCCAAATCCTCAGGCTTTTCGCAGAAATCAAGTGAGGAAACAATATTCTCCTACTCTATTACAATATTCTCCGCCATCTCTTCTCAAATTATCTTAAGCTCCATTCATATATCCTTTAATGATTTTCCTACCTTTGTTTACCAAATTTCGAAAGCCATTTTGTTTATGACTTGATATCGAATTTAATATTGCTTTTATATAATTATTAAGTTGCTACCCGAATTTATATATATCTCTTATTTCAAAGGTATATTAATACACATACGTGTTCCTTCATGATTTTGAGGCTTTACTAGCGTGATCAATTAAAGCAATATACTGTCGACATGAAAATTAAAGCTAAAGCGTTTAGCGTTTAATTTTTTGAAAAACAAAGAATTTGCTATAATGTGATGAAGACTGATAACATTTCGTGATAATTATTATAGTCGGTAAAGAGACGTGATATATTTTCGTAAGCTAGTCCAGTGTATTCTACTAATTTTACAATAGTAGCATACAAAAAAATTAACAGTCTCAACGTGTATTAGGTATACGCATAAAATATTGAAATCTCATTTAGTCTTCTCGTTAGTTTGTTTCATATATTATCGATTTACAGTATATTCTATGAGAGAAAATGTTAATAAAATGATGTAATTTTGAAAAATTATATGAAGTTAATACATCGTTACATTTACATTAACACTGAAAATTACTAATTATTAACTTTTTTTTATCATATTAATAATTTTTTTGTTAGTGACATTTACAAGAATCTGTTTATTTTTATTCGATCAGTATTTGATACTGTATTTATATAAAATTGAGAAAAATAATGATTTTACATACGATAAAAGCACACAATTCTAAATAAATTTAAGATTAAATATAAAATGCATATTTTTGTTCTTCGAATTATATGAATCTTATGGATCTAATATCCTCAACAATGTGCCAAATACATATACATATAAAGAAAATAATATATAATAAAAATACATCTTTGCTCGGTATGTCGAAGTACTATAGCATATAAATGCACTGCATTCTAAATTCTAAATATATATTCTAATTCTATATATTTTTATTATTAGTTTAAAGAACTAGAAATATGAATGATATATGATTGCTGAATTCTGTCATTATTGAATATTACGTGTATATCTCTTCTTTTGTTAGTATTTAACATACAATATAAAAATAATTTCTTTCTTTTTTAAGAACTGCTACCGAAGCATATTACAAATTAAAAGTTGTTTTTTTTAATTTGGTTATACGATTAACACAAAGGCCTTATTACTTCTTTCGTTTTGCAGAGAAAAAAATTACAGCAGCGTTTAAGGAAAAACGTGCATTGAATTATATTATTGGTATATCGATAGTATAAGTCTTGTATAATTCCCTTTGTAGTTATTTGTGTTGACATTTACAGAACTCCAACGTAAAGAAGAAGAAACACGAATAAATGTTTCTAATATATTTTCCGTCGAAAGTTTCCACAATTCCTATATCTTATCGATCGGCGTGATACTTTACTGCTTTCAATCTCGCAATCCGCGCTATGTGTTTGTGATCGATTGCATTTTGTCTGTTTTTGTTTAATGATTTCCGCTCAATAATCTCGATAGGCGTATATTTACATGTAAAATATGTTCCGCATGAAATGTATATCAAAATTGTATTTGAGTGAGATAATAAAGGTTGTATGACATACAACAGTATGCGTAACTTTAATACGATGCGCCGCATTATATCAGTTTAGTTCCCATAACGCGTTCTTCAATAGGTATTATTTATTTTTTCACAGTCCAAAAGTCTGTACTCTATCATGCACCAAACTATACAAACTGTGCCTCGACAATTCACGTGTAACGCATGGCAAATTCCATGAAACAGAAACTATCTTGGCGAAAAATATTCGAATACGTTTTCACAGTGAAATAAAAATAAATAATACCTCTTTTGCAGATACCGTACAATCTGGAAAAACGATGGGGTTTAGTCGCGAAGCCTTTCGCGGGGGACTCACGGTCTAAAACAGATGACGGCACCTTTGTAGCCATACCTAAGCGTTATCGTAAAATCGAGTTGAAATACTCACGGCTTGGTTACGATGATTTCGATTTTGATCAGTACAATCGAACCAGTTTTTGCGGCCTGGAGGCTACACTTCCCAACAGTTATTGCAATGCTATGTTGCAGGTAAGCCCAAGAAAGCTATAGTGCCCGAGGTGAGTCGGGCCAACGAATAAGATAAGTTACAGATCAGACGCATACGTTCGTGCTTTGCAGTTGCTTTACTATTGCGAACCCGTAAGGGTAGCAATGCTCTCACATTCGTGCCAACGAGAGTTCTGTCTTTCTTGCGAATTGGGATTCTTGTTTCACATGCTGGATACGTCACGAGGATTTCCCTGCCAAGCTGCGAATTTCCTTAGGGCTTTTAGGACTGTACGGGAAGCGTCAGCTTTAGGACTTATATTGAACGACCCAGAATCCAAGAAAAAGATCAATCTGATTGTGCTCATACAAGTATGTTAATAGTTACAAAGTTCAGGGTAAAAACGTGCAAATTGTAATTACATTTTAAAAACTTTTATCAGAACGAGTGTCTAAAATATCTTTTATTTAAAATGCAAGAATAAATTTCAAATTTTTTAGTTATTCTTTATTTGATGCATGAATGTTTATAAATTTAATTTTCGAAAATATGTTTTTTTAAATGTTCAAATTTGTTTAAAAAGCGAAGAAAAACTAATCGTATGATATATTTATAAATGTTCAATTGATGATACATCGACATAAAGATTATTTGTGATTTGCATTTTGTATTAGAGCTGGAATAGATTCATTTTACATCAAATACATTACGAGATAGTGGAAACTAGGAAGCGACAGAAGGAAGAAGAGGCAGCGCGACTTAAGTCGGGTTCCAAATACCCCCCATTTGTTTATAACGAACAGGACTTCCCTAGCATTCTTGAGGATCTCGGTTCTCGATATAGAAGCCACGACGACGAGAGGAAAAAAAAGAGAAAGGAGGAGGATGGTAAATATATGTGGATCACATCGAAAGGTAAACACAATTTATGTGTAACCTTTGCACTGGGCACTTTTTGTGTTTATTTTTCAATTTGTATGTGATTTATTTTTTTGACTTGTTTACTTGATTCAAAGCGCTACAGCGATATATCCGAAGAGCAAGAGACAACTGAGAATTATATGATTATTGTATAATTGTAAGCATAATTTTCTATAACGCACGATTGCAGAAACATTACTCTCATTTTAATAGAATACTTTACGATCTTATTAAATCTTGCGTTCTTAGGATATCTCACAATTGCAATTTTCATAATGTACGCCGATGTAATGATTTTTTTAGAATGTACCTTTATTGATCTTATATTAAACCAATAATGGTAATGCTTTTTATTACTCCTTAAATCGCTTTACTTTATATTATATATATTTTTATAGTAGGAAGAGCAGCCAGCCCCTTCTACCTTACTTTCCAAAAGTTGCATGATCTTGCTTTTACACGAGAATCCTGGGATTTAAAAATATGTGATTAATATCTATGCGTTAAAAGTATCAACATTATAACACCGATATGTCAAATTATCTAATACATATATTTCTAATATACATATGTATATATTGTACATATATATTTTAGAGAATAATCTCAAAATTATCTCGATAATGTCTATGTTGCTTGGTTTAGAAAAAATCACAATCTAATAATTTTCTAAGTTTGACATAATATCCTAAATAAACAAAAACATATTAAACTATTATTACAAAACATCGGAAATTATAAACACATACATGTCGCTTTACTTAAATACTGTTATAGAATCGTATACATATTTCGTTTAGTGAAAATATTTTTACTTAATTGATTTTAATAATACCGTTAATAATATTCGTTTATTTTATCTTTGCGCATTTATTACGGGTAGACAAGACCACCAAAAAATCCGCCGAGGAGAATGAAGTGCGAGATGACGAATCAGAGATCAGTCGTCTATTTGGATCTGAACAAATGCACATACATCGCTGTCTCAAATGTGGGCAAGAAGCTACAAAACATTCCATCATGTTACTTTGTAACTTGATTTATCCGGAAATAGTTAATCCTTGTAAGCAGTTTTCAAGCAATGTGTCCAAGGCTTTGGCTAGATGGGAAATGAGTCTAGTGTGTAAAATGATTGAAATTTTAGCTATATATGTATATTCAGATGTACAAGTATTTTAAAGCAAAAAGAGGTATAAGAAACAGGTCGCAGTCTAAAAAAATAATTTTTTAATTTTTTAAATGTAAAAGATCTTAAAATCCAACAATGATACCACGTTTAAGACATTAAAGTTTCAAATGTTCTACACACTAAACCGACTTTTCGTCGGCTAACCGACCTTAACTTAACGCGCACATCCATACTCTCGCGGCTGAATACAAGATTTACCTTTTGTAGCTGAAGAGGTACCGTTCACAAATGTTCTTGCCCGCAGTTTAAAACCTGAGATAGTTACACCCGCATGGTGTGAAAATTGCCATAGATATCCATCTACTCTTCAGTCTCGACAATTGACTACACTACCTCAAATACTGGCTTTAAACTGCGGCTTAGATACTCAACAGGTACTTAGAACATCAAATTAGATGTGCAGTCGTAGCACGCACAAAATCAAAGCACAGAAACCGCATGTCATGCCCCATTTGTCTAAAGTCATGAGATCGAATTATTACAGGATAAGGCATTTTGGCAAAATCAAATGGACATCGTGGTGCAAAACGTGTTGACGGGGAAGGAGAGCAGTCCCAACTCCAGTCCTGTGCCCGTCACCGCGAAGCTCTGTCGTTATGGCAATAACTGCACGAGAACTGGATGTCGATTCAGGCACATTGGCCGCGACTCAGGTAAGCAAATACCTCGTCGTACAAATTAAATACGTCGCGTCGTTCTGAATTAATGTTAATTATAATTTATTGCGCAGAGACAGAAAAATTATTAAATACGTCGTCCTCCACTCCATCTACCTCGTCGACGGCGCCCGTTACATCGCCTCCTAGTCATTTGTATTATTTGCACTCCTGGATACCTCACAACATAGAGATCTCCCTCAAAGAAAACGGGGAGATGTCGGTTAAAAAAATCAGCGAACCAAAAACCGAATCGAATAACGATACATCCGTACAGACGAGCGTGATGGAGAACGGCCAAGATGACAAAACGGTAAAAGTAATTTCCAAGAATGCCGGCGACAACGGTGAGGAAAATGTTGAAAATTGTAGTATAGTGTCGAACGTGGAAGACAGCGAAGCCGTGAAAAGTACAAATCCGGAAATCACTTGTAATCCTCAAACGATACAGTACGGTCTCAGTGCTGTCGTCTGTTACATCGACGATAAGAATAACGAGGAGCGAAGGAACATTGTAGCGCTGCTAAAAGTGGGACCAAATTATCACAAACGATCGGGAGGCAACGCCGTATCGCAATGGTACATTTTCAACGACTTCTGGTGAGTTTTTCAGTATTTGGGAAAAAATTTATCTATAACGTTTATCATTTATTTTTTACACGACGCTTGTTATAGTATACAACCAGTGACACCGCAGGAAGCGGTATGGTTTAATCTCGATTGGAAAGTTCCATGTGTGCTTCATTATACAGCGATACCTGCACCCGAACCGACACAATTTGTCAGCCCTCTTACATACGACGTATTCGGGGAAGATAAATGTATTGCTCGCAGTGGTGGAACTAAAGTCATTACATTTACTCCCCTGTCGTCAGACGAAATGCCTAAGAAAGGTAGATTCCTCTGTTATAACAATTTCTAATTTTGCTTTCTATAATTCCGTTTTTTTATATAAAATTATTGTGCAATTTCAATATGGCTTGTCTTGTAGCCTCGTTATGTATGCTTGAATTTTTGTTGCAGGAGAGTTGGTAGGGATCGATGCAGAATTCGTTACTTTAAATCAGGAAGAATCTGAGCTACGGAGCGATGGAAAGATGTCAACTATAAAACCGAGCCATATGTCGGTCGCGCGAATCACCTGTATACGCGGGTATGATATCTATATGAATTATTTATGTAAACAGTAATGCTTTATAAATGAAGAGATTTTAATCTCCGATCGAATAAAAAATGCACTCAGTGCGATAATATTCGCGTTATTTTGAACTGTAATATTTTTCTTTTTTATAAATAGGCAAGGTCCATTAGAAGGTAAGGCGTTTATAGACGATTATATAAGCACTCAGGAACAAGTAGTCGATTATCTGACAAAATTCAGCGGGATCCAGCCGGGTGACTTAGACGCGAACTTTAGTAGCAAACATCTCACAACGCTGAAATCGACGTATCAAAAATTGAGGTTCTTAGTGGACAACGGCATAATCTTCGTCGGGCACGGCCTGAAAAACGATTTTAGGTGAAATTCTGCTTGCTATCTACGACAGTAATTCGTCATCTTATTGATGAGATTTTTTTGTTAAATGCGTGAATTTTTTGCAGGGTAATAAATTTGGTGGTGCCGCCGGAGCAAATAATAGATACAGTTTTGTTATTCCACTTACCTCATCATCGTATGGTATCATTGCGCTTCTTGACCTGGCATTTTTTGGGTAAAAACATTCAGTCTGAAACTCACGATTCGGCCGAGGACGCACGTGCAGCCTTAGAATTGTATCGCAAGTACAAAGAACTAGAAAGCTCTGGCACGTTGACAGAAGCGCTGAAGGAACTCTACGAAGTGGGCACCCAATTACAGTGGAAAGTAAGAACGAAAATTTTTATATTACTAAGCGTCATCCCTCGTCAAGTCTCATTAAATTTTTTTCTTTAAACATTATTTGATTTTAGGTCCCTGATAGCTGATATGAGGATAATATATATAACGATATAGATGATGAAATCAATAGTGATAATAACGATTAGATGATATGAATGTTCATGTGTCCATTATCTGACATCATTGTTCAAAAGCTACTCGGCGAACGCTATTCACATTCGTCGATAAAAATGTCGATGTTTAATCTAATGTTAAAGATAGGTTCGTCATTACATACTCGTCATTCACAGAGAACAGATTTATTCAACGCACACGTAATATTATTAGACGATGGAATTTTTCGGGGATCTCACATCGCAGCATCATGAAATTGAAAAAAGAATTGCAAAATTTATAGACATTAATATTCATTTAGACGTTGTTTTCGCTCATGCGTTAGATCATTGTTGCATTCGTATATCGAAAATACATGGTATACATATTTAATGGTAATACGCGAAATTACACATTTTTGTCACTATCTTGTCGACCGCATATAGCCCGTTAAAAGGATTAAATGAGAAACTTGTTGATCGTGATTTTAAATAGAAATTAAGCATAATGCAAAATTTGTACATATTGTCTGACAACATTATGGCGTTTTGAGGAGCAGTAACGATCTCGCACTGCCCGATAGAATATTCGCTCTAATTTCCTATCATTCATATTGTATCCCAAAGGTAATTCATATTCCATCTCACTCCATCAAACAATTGCCGAATATAGACGTAAATAGTTGTAGCACAATAGCAATAATCGAATTATGTATTTTTAAGTACATGATATCTCACTACTTTATTTTATATACGTATTTTTTTTAGTGCAACTTTTGTACGATTTTACGAAGACGAATTTTATATGCAGATCTTTTTATAAAAGATTTCATGGATTTTAATTTCCTCGATCACACACAATCGCCTTCACACATTTGTGCAAATACCAATCACATTTGCGGTCATCTGTAACTGTTATTCATTGCCATTTTTCGAAACTGATCCATTTGCGTGAGAAGCTCTCAAAACGCGGAAAAAATCTATTAACGAAAATATAATAGCAAATTTTACACACTGACAACTGTATGCATTATAAATTATTTTTATATACATTTTACCAATGAAAGAATATGAAGAATATGAAGGATACTGTCCAAAATATTGAAAAAAAAAGAGAATGAAGTATATATTTTTTTATATTTGGAGGAATTTTCTTATAATTTGTGCACGATATAACTTATACACTGGTTTCAGTGGTCAATGTAAGCCAGTAAATAGCACAAACGGTACACATGTTGATCGTAATCAAACGTTTGATTTATGTCAACCACTGTTACGTCATTGTAATTTTACAATAAATGATTGTACAAATTTATCCGACGTAATTTTTCTTCTTTTCAGCTGTAATTGAACTTTTAACAGATTTATTGGGGAAGAAATTAGTAATATACGTAAAATAGTGTTAATTTCATTATATGTATATATATATATTTTTAATATTATATCTTAATGTTGTATGTACAAGTCAGTTCTAGCTTCCTATTTATACCAGAAAGATATAAATCCTTTCTAATCAAATATTATTGCGTTAAACCACTTTTCGTGGATAGTTTTAGTATAACGTAAATTAATAATTTACAGATTGTACACACATTCACCTTGCGCGCGTGACGACGTATCACGCTATTGTTACAGCGCTCAAGCATACGTTACGGTATTACATATATAACATACAAATTTAATAAATAATTAAAAAATCCCATGCGATTTCAAAATCGCTCTACAGGGAGATTTAGACCCCTTTCAAACAAGTCTACATTCGAAATGCTGCTAACAAAAGCAGCACTCAAAATAACTATAAAAAAACATCTGAAAGACATCTGAAGAATTGCCTACACCGTGATATACTATTCGATATCTGGTCGTCAAATGCTCGTATGAAAGGAGTCTTAAAGGAAAGATTATCTATAATATTTTCGGCACCCGAATGAGCTTCGCTAAGAGAATTATCGGCGAGATATGAAATCGTTTTAGTGCCGACCGAACACGGGTAAAAAAATAATTAGTTGTACTCTATCGTAAAAAAGACAGCGGAAGCGACGAGGCACGTATCAAGGCGTTCTACCGCGGTTGACGGTATAGAAAAAAATAACATTATACATATATTACGTATATACACGAAAATACGATTCGTCGAAGAATGTCGAGATATTCGTTCGTAACTGCCGTCTGTACGCGCGGCTTAAGTAATTACAGGTAATAATTAAAAAAAAAAAGAAGAAGAAGAACGTCTCCTGACTAGAAACTTGTATGGTCGAGCTGCAGGAGCTGGAAGGAGTATTCACGGCAGTATACGTGTGACAAATCAATCATCACCCAGAATCAACGCTTCCAGTGCACCTCGGCAGATGCTCGCCTGGCCTGGATGCGGATTAAGGCACTGTTGAACGCTAATGAGATACTCGACAGAAGTCGAAACTGTGTCTGCAGACTACATCAAGCGAATCCACGCGATGCGCCTACGATTCGATCTGGTATGGCCAAAAAGTCGAAAGTTTCGACAGAAGAAAGGTGGACAGTGGTGATCCTTGTTTAGTGATCCTCGCCTTGTTGGAAGTGACCGTTTCGATTCAGCGGTTGTCTCTCTGGAGCGTCGGAGGGCCTGTTCCTCTTGAAGAAACCGCACTGTAAATAATAAAATGGGTTGATTATCATTGCTTCACCCTTATCTCAATCACTCATTATTATCAATACTGTAGACTAAATCAATTTATACAAGGGAGCAAATTTAAATATTATTCAGTTATTCAGATAAACGTTTCTTACTTGCAAAAAATTTAGAAATGGTAATTTTTCTACATTATATTTTCTGTACTAACTTTATAAAGCAGGTAAATGAGCAGCAAGAGGATTATCATTCCCGCACAAGCTGACAGAACCACCACCCATATTGGAATCATGTCCGGAGTGGAAGGCGCCGCGCTGGGCTCGATGTTCGTTGTAACTTCGTCGCTCCTGATGACCTGTTCTGCAGGCGTACCGATGAATGGTTGCTTCGTGACACGTGCCACCAGCTTCGTCGACACCTTCACTTTCTCCTTAAGAGCTACTTCCTTCAAAGTTCTAGCGTCCACGCGATATCTCGCGCTGATCCAGACTTCTTGGTCCTTCTTCAATGGACCCAACACGCATCGCAACATAACGCACTTCGCCGCATCACACGGCGGCACTGGTATCTGCGACTCGGGATCGTTTTCCTGGTAGTAATCGTCATCCTGGAACGTAGTTGCGTCGGACGGGAAATCGTCCGTCTCGAGGTCTCGTCGATGCCTGTGGAACCGTTCGAATTTCTTGAATTCCTCGACATCGACCACGTCGCTCTCGCGTCTGTATCTCGAGCTTGGAAAATTAGGATCTGGTCTGTTAGTAGGGAACTCGTCGTCGAACCGTTCACGGTTTCTCCCGTAGACTCTGGTGTTACTCGTTCTCTCTTCCGTTCGTCTCTCTTCATGTGTACGAGTATTATATCTGCTTTCATACCCTCCGTCTGAAGTTGCACCGAGACTGGATGATTCCTCGTTCCAAGATTGACTATGAGTTCCCTGACCTTGATTTTCAACGTCACCACCTTGATAGCTATCGTGCGGGCCACGCAAAGTGTACGTTCTTTCCTCAGTGTGCGTAAACGAACCCTGAAGAGGGAACCTTCGACCATCCTTCAACACGATGTAACCTTTGCCGTCCGAAGCAACAAGTAAATGGCCTTCTATCCTGAGAAATCGACTGTCGCGAGGCTCCGTAGATTCTGAAACGTAGCTTTGCCCGCCGTAACGATCCTGAAGGGGGAACATAGAGCCGTCCTGGAATTCTATGTACTCTTTCCTGTCAGCGGATGTCCTGAATCTCGCCTTGAACTGGACATACTGTTGTCCCTGTCTGTTGTATAGCTGATAACCAGTTGCATCTTTCGACAACGTGCCAAAGATCCGCTCCAGTTCTTGCGTGGAGCTGACATTGTGCAAACCAAATTCCTGACTTCCGACCGTTTCCTCGCGATCGCCAGTGATAAAATCATCTTCCGTAGTTCGATGATAACCATCCGTGGTTACACCGTAGCGCCTTTCTTCATCGTAATTGTACCTGTGTTCCCTCTCTTCCTGCAGGCGTCTTACTTCTTGCTGTCTTTGCCGTTCTTCTTCCTCTTTTCGCCATTCCTCTTCCTGCCGACGTCGCTCTAACTCCTCCCGATGACGTTGCAGGGCGATATGTTCTTGTTCCTCTTGCTGACGTATTAGAAGTGCCTCTTCTTGCAGCTTCCTCCGCTGGGTCTCCTCTTCTTGCAGCTTCCTCCACTGAGTCTCCTCTTCTTGCAGCTTCCTCCGCTGGGTCTCTTCTTCTTGCAGCTTCCTCTGTCGAGTCTCCTCCTCTTGCCGCAGACGAACCTCCTCCTGCTGCCTCAACAGCTCCTGGTATCGCCTCTCGCTCTCAGTCATAACGGAATCGTATCTATCCGGAGGTGAAATCGTATGTCCTTGCGCTTCACCGCTCTCCTGCCAACGACTTTCCACCCTAACGGATTGATTAGTGCGAGTTCCATAGGACTGCTCGAGATCGGGCAACCTTGAGCCAAAGGATTCCTCCTCAGACCCACGGAATCCTCCGCCTAAAGTCGTGGAACCGTAACTACCGCTCGATTCCGTGTGAAAAACAACTCCGCCGCGATTGCTGGATGAGTCACTGCTACCGTTCGAGCTAGTTCCGGAAGAATTGTGCGTATACGTCGTGGTGAGCACTTCGGGTTTCTCTCCCGCGTTCAGCTGAATCCGCCTACTCTCGGCAGTGCTGGAAGAAGAGGCGGAGGACGACGACGATGACGAGAAGTGGTGTCGTGATTTCTGGATATTCGAACTGTCGCCACTACTAATCTCGGCCTCTTCCTTCTGACTCACTTTGTTATGGTCTATCTCGAAGCCTCTTTGAACATTGATTGTTCTGCCTGATTGCGACTCGTCCAGGATTACGCCAGAGTAATCAGGGTAATTTAGGTGCACTCTTCTACGCTGATCCAACTGCAAATGCATTATTATGATTTATACTGCCTGGATATATTATATTTGATATATGATATTGATAAAAAAATAATTTTCCGCTTTATACGTACCTTCAAACTGAGATAATTTGCATTGGCAGATTCGCAGGCGATCGGTCCCGCAGTCTCTGGCTGTTCCAGCAAATACATTAGTATCTTTCCGGATAAAGTTTGAGCGGGCCATACAAGGAACGCTTCTGCCTCGACGATATCCGATGGGCCTTGATTGCGAATCGTATAATTGTGCGTCACCGCTGGTCCCAACTCGAGCTCCGTTGTAATATTCACGGCAGTGTAATTGTCGGGATTATAATAGAGATCCTTGGGTTTGCTCTCGCCGTCGACGCGCACGTCTGTCTCTATCCAGATCGGTAGTGACAAATGCTGGCTGTTATCATAGCTAGTGCTGGAATCCTCGGGGTTCGTAGTGTTGACATGCATATCGAACTCGTAGATGGGCTTCATCCCGTGAGACGTCACGGGCTGAAGTAGCACCTTAAACTTTACCAGTTTTTTCTGTGGCAGTGGATTTCCGATATCACAACGTAGAGTGTTGTTGTTTGATTGCTTGGGCGCGGAACAGTGAACGGGAATCTCCAGGGTCTCGACACGCTCGATCTTGATGTAATCGATGCCGGCCGGTAACTGCAGATTATAGGTCGCCTCGAATGCGTCCTCGCCCGCATTCTGAACCAAAACTTCGAGTTCCAACCTTTTGCCAGATCCTAACAAGTATCTGCCAACGTTGGACTTGACGCTGAGCTGTAAGTTGGGTATGCAGATGTTGTCAGAACCGCAGTTCTTTCTGATAGAAAGAGTATCCTTCCTGGAGGTCGTCGCGCCGAGGACGGGTCTTAGTGGCATTCTAGGATCACGACGGCGATTATCCGGAATCCGTTCTTCCTCTAGACTCATACGCATCTCGGCGTCCAACGACGTTAGCTTGTCGCGAATGTTCGGAATCACGTACACCTTTAAGAATGATGCCAAAGTTGTAAATTTTGAAAAAAGAAAGCATATGATATTAAAACTATTTGTCTACTCACCTGGACTGTGCGACAGAACTGGCGATCGCGTTCAACCGTGATCGTATGATTCATCGTATTTCTGCCCTCCAATTCCAGGAAGAACAATCTCGGATTTTTCGTCTTCTTCACATCGAGTACGTATTGTATATTGAAATTGTGCCTCGTGAGAACACCCTCTCCCGAGTATCTGAAGCAAGCCCTAAGCGGAAAACACGTGACTCTGGTGTTGTCCGAAAGCGTGCAGTTCCTGTCGTCCAAGGAGATCAACTTGGATTCCGAGTCGAAGACCACGTAGGAGTCCATCTTGATCACCGGCCGTGATCTGGAGAACGAGCACAAGGTTCAACTTCGAAACTCGATGCGATCTAAAGACATTCGAGAATCGAAAGATGATTGATAACAACCTGAAGAACATTGCTGCCCCCGACTCGTATGCACCGACTACTAAATCTGGATAAACGTTGCCATCGAGGTCAAGGCCACCGGCCACGGAGAATCCGAAGGTCTGCACCGGATTGTCCAGATCCTCCGCGTGGATCACCTGGGAATACTTCTCCAGGACTCCGGTCCGCGAGCCGTGGTAGATGTAGACGGCACCGCGACCGTTTGGACCACCGTAGGGCGCGCCGACAACGAAGTCACCGTAACCGTCACGGTCGATGTCCCCCAGAGAGGCCAGCGACAAGCCGAAACGTCCGCGGTTGCTTTCGCCGTCCCTGGATAACGATAAGCTTTATCGCCGCGGTTCAACAAACTTGCGCGACGCAGGGCTCATTTAACCCTTCGGGTCGGAGTTAATGAACTTGCGGAGCAGCGGAGATATTGCAGCGCCTCCGCTCTACGGAGGAATTTTCTCTCTATATATCTCTCTATATTTTTTTGTAGATATAATGTACAATATAATATATTGCCTCCCTCTTTTCTCCCACATTCTTTAAAGCACTCGTGAAAAGCTTCATTATATACCTTGTGTCAAATTTGCGAAACTTCTCCGCACCATCGCCCTGATAGATAACATAGATTCTTCCGGTTTCGATGGTCATTTCCGGGTTATCTGGAACAGTGTACATGGGTGCACCGACTATCAGGTCATCCAACCCGTCCCCGTCTATATCGCCAGCAGCCACGGCGTAACCGAAGTAAGCACCCATTTGTTCGCCAGTGAGATTTCGAGGGTTCGTCATATTCGATGTGAACAGTATGACCTACGATCACATTTTCGCGTCAGCCCACATCCACAATGACGAAACGTATATTGCTCCCGTGGAAATTTGATCTCGGTTTTGCAAATTTCGATCTTCATCAATTTAAGTTTCACGCGATACGTATACTTACAATTTAATATTCCTGAGAAATTTAATTAATTTAATTTTAGAGAGTTGTTTAAAAAAATATTGCTCTGAGCAAAAGTGCCTGCATCTAACAAAATTTATCTTGTAATATTCCTCACGTTTATCGATATTCTTGCGTTCAGATACTATGTGCCTGAATTTTTTAATATTTTCATATTGCGATTATTTCTCTTTTCTCTTTCTTCTACATTTCCATCGTCATGCTTTTGTACTTCATGTCTTTGTATTTCAACTTGTAATGCGATACTCTTTTACGCACCTTGCCCAGAAGATCGGAACCGCGCGGGACGCCAACCGCGGTACCACTATCTCCATTCCCAACGAAATCTCCTGTCGCGACGGAATAACCCATATAACTATCGTCCTCCTTCGCCGGACCCTCTTTGGTGAACATGATTCTCGATCGACCATTCAAGGGCTGCGAAAACGCTTGTCCTACAAAACGATTCCATGACGTTAGTAAAAGATATATCCCATCAGGAAGCGATGGGGATGCAAGTGTTTTCGTGACTGCGGCTTTAGTAGAAGATCTCTGAAAGGCTGTCGGCCTTTGCTGCAGTCAGAAAATAGCTCGCACAAAAAGCTTCACAAAACCTTGTATCGCGTTAAAATGCACGCTGTGCAACTGATTTTGAATTTCCATCGGACGAAGAGCAATTTGACAGATAGTTATAGCAAATCGTTAAAACGAATTATTCTCCAAAATATTAATTTACAGAAGAAATCACATAGTCACACGCATATATTTATATATGTATGTGTATATATTTAATTTTATTTTCTAAGATTTTGTGAAAATAACATACAGTATAAACATAGGAATGACAAGCTTTTCTATTATTAATCTAGCATTTGTTCTCGCTATTAATGTCAAGCGATCGTCACTATGTAGCAACGTTGGCGCAAACTCTCGATTAAGGGTATTATAGCTTTCTAGTTGGATCCGTATTACCACGGCTCTTGCTGCATCTGTAGCTTGCTGAAGCTGTAAGAAGCGGGCCCGCACCTGTTAGAAATTTTGTCACCCACCACTTATTTGGCAGTAATTACAAAGAAACGGGTCATACTTCGCGTTAATTGTCGCAATAGCTGACTTTTAACTCAGGAAAACAAAACACAGAAACAGATTTCAATTTGATAGGAATTTTTAATTAATTTAATTCGTAATAACATTAAGTAATAACATTAAGTATTATAACATAAAATATCAAACACAGAGACTGCGAATCATTCCAGTCACGTATGAAGAATGACTCAGGAAATTAATCAAATTAATTTTAACACATTTTCGAACTATATAATGGGCATAGTTATACACACTTTACTCATCGATTTTAATCATATAATTAATAACAAGCGTAATATGTTAAGCACGAAAACAAATGATTGGAGTTACTGCCAAGCAAGTGCGAAGAGGGTGGAAAATACTCTCGTGTTACTTGATACCTGCCTCCGAGGACGATTTCCTGCGATTAATGCGAATTATTATTGCCGGCTTTCACTTCAGTTTTTCGCACTCTCGGAAAAAGCCGACAAGCAACACGTTTGTTAATTTGGCACGTAAGAAGTCGTCAATACGAGAGAATGGTAGCTTATTAGAAATGGGGGGGGGGGTATGGGGCGACAGGGTAAGGGTGGAGAGTATTTTAATTATACGGGGGACGCCTGCAAAGTGTTCGCGATACCTGATGCTTCGGCTTCGGTGACTAACATCGTCGCCACGAACTTCAACTTCATGGCGGTGGCGATTGAGTATATCTGACCTGCAATTTGTTAAAGGAAATTCCTCTCTGAATTATTAGTTAGATCTGGAGTCGCACGCTCTTTCTTTCTCTTTCTCTCTCTCTCTCTCTCTCTCTCTTTCTCTCTCTAATCGCTAATCAACATCCGCTCCTCCGTTCTCGTTCAGTCGCATCACCCCGTGGATCAGATAATTTTGATTGAAAAAAAGAAAAACAATAGATCACGTCAACGTTTTAGCTTAAAAGACAGATTCTCGGCCGGTTCACGTTACGTCCTAAGATATACGGGCGTTATCTTACAGATGAAAATTTGATAAAGGACCTCACCTTGCCAGTAATAACTGCCCGGTGCTCCTATGAAGAGTCTCTCGCCACTCTGAAACAAGTAGAAAAGTAACTGTCAGCGAATTTCTTCACTCGTTGTGAGAAAAATGTTAAAACCAAGTCCTAATTTATTTTCAACACTTTGCTCGCATTCACACAATTGTTATTTTCCTTCGTGGGAGAGAGAATTATCTTGCAAAGTAAAAAAAAAGGCAATAAATGATACGTGTGATCGTCAGTGCCTCGGGTGCATAACCAGGAAACGCGGACGCACCCACGAAAGTCTAATTTTCGTTCTTTTTTTATTATTATTTATAAGATAATGCCGTGGATAAGAGAGGGCAGGGCTCGTGCCCGCGAGATGCGATAAATCAACCGCTCGTATATATGCAAGTCGCACATTTGCTGCACGCGTTTGCACACAGTCGCGTCGCGCATGTTAAACCGTACGAGTAAACCGCGGTGGCCTTTACGATAGAGATTTCTCGGTATACGAATACGAAGTGCCATCGTCTCTTGTGATGCATCAAGAAAAAAACACTGCGAGACTATAGAGAGATCGTTGGCATCTTGATCGGACGATAAAATATCGTGAGATACCGCGAATACGATACCTGTCGATGACTCTCTCTCTCTCATAAATCTGTGGTGCATTATGCTCTGTTACGAAATATCCGCAGCATTCCTAACGGTTCCTAACATGCGGGGTGATCGAAGATAAAGATTTCTTTTTCACGAATCAGGCTTTACGAATTCAAATGCCCAACAAGATCTTTTGTGAGTGGCTTTTGCTCTGGTAAATTTTTAATTCGATAATTAATCACAGAGTTATGTAATCTTAAATTTATTCAAAGTTCACGCAGCAAATTTGTCGTTTTTTTTTTTTATTATCAAGAACCCGAAAGTGTAAAGATGTCGAATTGTGAAGACGGATCGACATAGTAAATGTGATAAGTACACGCACCAAGGGACATTTGCGCGGCATCGCGTACAGCATGCATTATTTATGACCGCAATATGTAATGGAAGCAACCGTGCTTTTGTTGCGCAACATCTGTCTCGCGCGTTAAATGCGCGCGAACCACAGTAAGTCCGCGGCACAAAGACCGCTCGCGGTACGCGGCACAGCGTGCTCTTTTACCGTCCGTACAAAAATATTAATCATCGCAAAACGGTATGCAACTGATACGCGACAATGGGAGCGCCAACGTCGTGAGACGTTAAACGTTCTCCAAAACGTATAACTCACACAACGCCGGCGGTCCCCGGAGCGGAGGCGTGGAAAAATCGATGTACTGTGTTTCAAAGTGTCCGCGAAAGGCAAGACGCAATGAAGGAGCCGCGTTTCGCAGGACGGAAAATGAATGTGGCACGGCCCGTGTAATAAAGCAAGAATTTCATTCGCCTCCGAGCCTACACGTCGCATTTATTTTCGTTTGTTTCCCGGAACGGGAATGTATCCTCTCTGCAAGGAGGAATGATTAAAGTAACACTGTCCGCGAGATAGAGAAACCATCTCTCTCGAGAGTTTCACACACACACACGGTACCGCCTCCCGCGATGTGAGACCTCCGTTGAATCGGTACGTGAGAACTCGAGTGGCTCTCGAAATTGTCGACGTACTCGATGCCTGTTGACCCTTTTGCGCCCGTCATTCCCATGCAACGCATCGAAGGTACTTGTACGGTTAGCACTTACGAAACGGATACTGTATTCGACAGTCCACTGAATCCAAGTGAAATCACGGAAGTCCGCCCACTCGTGGATTTACACGAGGGAATTCTTTCGTTCACCTTGTCCCGATAATTGCCGAGAACTGCAGTCAGATTTCGGAAAAATCTACGAGGCGACCAGAAGATACCGAACATCGCGAAGAGACGAACAGCTAATTAATTTGTCTTTTCCTCATCGTCGGATTATCATCATCTGTATTGTAGCAATTATTGTAGCAACTTCCGCGTATACAACCCTACGGGAAAAAGTAGTTAGAGTTTGTGCGTAGTGTCGAGGTCGCGACCCTGTAAACCAGCATACTCGATCGTGCATCACGATGCGTTTTACGTTTTACGTATCGTAACGGTGCACTCCCACGCACTCGGCTAACGGCGGTGTCGAAGTAATGAAGATTACGGCTCGCATACATATTAATCGACAGTCTACATGAATGATCGTGAGAGAAACTGAATGCGTAAGTATACGCGATAAGATCATGCAATATGGATATGGCAACGGATTCAAAACGGAACGGGAAACGTTGGCTACTTTTACGCGATTATACTTTCAGATCCAGTTTGCGTTATCAAACTGGATTCCAATGCTCGTAGAAATATAGCGATATTAAAATTATAATTGTATGAGAATCGATAATCTTCTATATAATTAACAAATCTTCGACTAAATTCAATTCCGAGCAGAGTTAGTTTTAGTGGCATTTTTATATAAAGTTTAAATATTAAGACATTTAATATTATCATAATCAAAAAATTATGCGAAAAAGTATAAGCAATCAATTTTTATAAAGGACAAAATTAATCGATTCTAAATTAGCAAAAAAAAACGAATTAGATTACGAACGAATTAATTCATTGAAGAAGATCTGGAATACCTACTCTGCAAATAAATATCTGATTTTTTCAAGAAAAACACCGTCGAACGATATAGACTTCTTTTAAAAATTTATTTGTCAAGATTTCGTGTGAATAGCGCCCGGATCAAAGTGTTAACCGCGCGACAATGTCGTTACACTCTCTTAAGACGCACCCACGCGTTGACGCGTTCGCCTACGCGAAGGATCCGCCGCTGCAGGGAAGATACAATTTCTACAGATCGCAGGAAGAGAGAGGGACGCGTTAATGCGAGTTGGGAAGAAGAGCGCAATGCGCGGACGAAATCGTGTAACACGAGATTCCCATTTTTTATGCGGTGACGCACTTCCCTTTGCGACACGCGATATCTCGCAATTGTGCGGTGAACAACGTTGCCAGGAGATTATTGGATTATAGTCGAAGTTGTTTTGCGTACGGACAATAAAATCGCGTTATTATTTTCTGTAACTCTAGACGCACAGGAGAGTTAATGAGATTATGGAGAAATGAACGATAATACTGGAACATAACAGCAATGTATTAATAGCAATAGTAGCAGTAAAGAGATAAATTGTAATCATTCCACGATTATTATATTATTTTCGAGACATAATAATTTAACGTTTACTCGACACTTGATTAATCTACAGCAAAAATATAAATATTCTAATTTAAAACGACAGCAAATAATTTAAGATAATATTTTGTGTAATCGATGACACTATGTGTAATTGATGAAATTATTTTGTTGTGATCCAACAACTGAAAGAATTTTTCTTCGAAAGACCTTCAGCAATGAAATCAAGAGATCTCTTTCTGAAGAAGGGGATTACCGAGGAATCGCGGTAGAAAGCGAAGCCGTCGGCGCTCGGTGGCGAAGGTGCGCGTTTCACGAGAAAAAGAGCGTGTCTAGTTTCGTTTTACTCTGCTTATCATGAGAAACGGCGGCCGTTTATAAGACAATGCAACCGCGAGGGTAGAGAGACGACCTCACCGGCGCGTAGGTGGCCTTCTTGCGGCGTCGCACGACGGTGAACACGGAACACGGTGACAGAACGAAATGTCCGAGCCTTAAATGGCCATCTGAAACTCTCCTGCTGTTTGCCTCTTCGCGACCGCTCGTCCTATCCCTCCGACTTCCTCCTCCGCAACCGACGGCGACGGCGACGGCGACAGCGACGGCGACGACGACAAGACATCGCGCCGCGTATGTGTATATACGCGCGCTTTAAACGCGCGGACACAATGTCACCGTGAGGACGGAGAATCGTCTCCCTTTAGTGGCGTCAATTTTTCGCCTCGTCGAGACGTTCTCGAGTGACGCGATAACGAACGGTCGTCTGCCTTCGGTTTTGCGAGAAGAAGATACCAAAGTGTGAAAACAGATATACGCGAAGAGGTGATTAACACGTCGACGGGCAGTCACGGATCTCGTTGTCACAGTAGAAAATCCATTTTATTGTAACGTCACTCTTAAGTCACGAGGTGGCCATTATCTTGTCGCAATATTGAAAACCGAAAAAGAAGAGACACTTCGAACAGCGCTATTTTTCAACTTTGGCGCGTCGTAGATATTCGTCGGCGACGAATTACTACACATCACTGTACATAGATCTTTAGTTTTGACGTTCAAAGAATTTCTATAAACATACATACAATTTTTGTAAAATTTGTGCAATACGGTTAAACTTCCGGGTATACAAGAGAATAAATATCGCGGGTACCCACAGCCGCGAAAATTCGCTTAGCGTGGCAATCAGAGGAGCGCGGCCGATGTAAATGCGGCAACTCGGCAACGTGAATTCCCCGGTTCCGGTAGAATTACAGCGTTTGTGCCGTCGTTTGTAACACGACCGCCGACGCAATCGCGGACTGCGTTGGTCCTAATGGACCCCGCGATTGCTTATCAGAATCCAGCGAAAACGCATCCGCCGCATTCCTCCTAGTCGGATCAAACCAGTCCACAAATCCCTCGCCTCTCATACGAAGTAAGTATAAGGGAAACGTTATTCCTCGCCGAGCAAATTAACATTCGAGCAGTCACGCGCGTTACCTGAGATAAGATATTAAATAAGGAACTGCTTTAAGGTGTTGAGAACCAGGATATACATGCAACTCGATTAGTAAAATTAACATATACCGTTCGTTCTAGCACTTCTATCGCGACTGCTGAGAAAGTATATTTGATTGCTCAACACTATTATATATTTTCCAAGATTTCAATTCATTCGTATCACGTTGCCAATAATGTAGCCTTAAAAAATCCAATTCTTTAATTTAAAAAAATATTATTAAATATTATCAATTTTGTGAAGAAATTTAAAAAATTATGTTTTTGAAGCAATCATATATTAATACTAAAGCTTTTAGACAAGGCGCAACGAGATAAAGTTTTATTTTTTTATGCAAGTCAGCTATTAAAAGTTAAAACGAAATTTTGTTACTCGACTCCAGGTTTTAAGGATCGCTTTGGGAACCACGTACATTCGTGTGCAAGGGTGCAATGATGGACCAGATTCGCCGCATTTCGGTGCAATCTTTTGTTTGTCGTCTCGCAAGTATTATTATTTGTGAGTCGCGGTACGCCGTGCCAAGCGATTCGCATGATCCGCTCCGGGAACAATAGGGGCCCTCCTCGTCGGCCAAACAATGTCAAACATGCGATCGAGTCACGTGTACACCATCGCGACGCGATAGGGTGCTCCGGCGCGGGTGCAACAGCCGTAACTTTTGTGTTCAGGCGCCATCCGTCTCTAGGGCCCTCCCAAGCCGGGCCGAGCCGAGCACGGAGGACGCAGAGCGGGCCGTTCTGCTCGTCGAACCCGAAGAATGCGCTTTTTGACGTGCCGAGAGGTGAATCAGAGGTCAGCCCGAGGCCGGCATCGGTCTGTCTTTCGGACCGCGCGACTCATGCAAGTGGGAAGACAATGATCGATGCGTTTCTCGCATGGAAAGTAATTAGGATAGGCAGTGGAATGATGGATTAAAAAACAGATGTGTGCATGTGTCAGGTAATATTTTTCTCTTGGATACGTGAATATCTTTATTTCGTAGACGTTAAGGAGGGGGGGAGGGGCGACCAAAGTTTATAATTTATAATAATTACATGTATTTTAAAATACACAGAGATATTTTTGAGAAGATTGTCATCTTCTCATTAATCTCTCGGGCAAAGTAAATAGATCTCGGGCCAAACTTTAGATCAGTGTTGCACTAATATTTTTCATCCTCCAGTGATTTCTTATCACACGCTAAACAGATTAGCCGGACAGTAGTAAGCAAATACATGCATTTGTCGTCCAAGTCGGTGTGACACGCGGAGACACGGTGAGCGCGCGCGGAAGAATCGAAAGGGGTCTACACGATGGTATACCCCCCATGGAGCTGCGGTCGGTCCCCATGCTTATACACGCGAAAAATTTGCAACCGAGACAATGGCGGGGTCGGGCTGCGCCCCCGTCTACGCGAAACACGACTGGCACGAGTTGTGTTCTGGCGCCGATCGAAAGGGGTTGGGGATAAAACGGGAGACGGGGGAGATGGGAGAGACGCACGCGGGCGCCGCATACGAGATTGAAATATAACCGCGCGGCCAAATATGTATGGGGGCCATGGTGAAATTTATATGCCGGGGTGCACACACGCGCCCATAAGTGTGCTGCGCTTAAGTGCACGCCAAATGCAGCCGGGAACCGGGAGATTGCAGCGACGACGCCGGGCAAGAAACGAGGCCCGGGCCCCTGACGAAGCAAGAAACTGTTGCGAGCGAAGCTAACGCGGGATAAACGAGGCTAATGCACGCGCGGATAGACGAGTTATCGGCTTTGAAAAATTGTAAATTGCATTTTTTTTTTCGCGGGCCACAATCGCAATAACGATTTTATGAGAGTATAATTCGATGTCGAGCTAAAGCTGGAAAGACAGCTGGTTATCCTTTTTTTAATCAATATTTATCAAAAACTTTTCTATTGTATAGGTATTTGTATATGACGAATATTCATGATGATTTTTTATACAAGAAGCGTAAAATAAATATGACAGATATGACAGAATATGTAAAGTTTGTTGATGATTGAAATAGTTATCAAAGTATACAATTTGTCCTGCCTTCTAATCGTATTAATATTTTTTCAACCCCCCCCCTCCCCAAAGAGGTATATGCATATCTTCTAAAATATAATAAGTGATTAAAATACGATAATTGATTATATTTACATAAAATATAATAATTAATTTATTATAAGTAATATAAAATATATTTAACGTTCACTATCCAAAAAGACGTCACAATTCTTACCTAACATTTTCGAAGACACGTAAAATACGAGATTACAATAAATAGTAGGGAAGATCGCGCAGCATTATGCCAATCCATTCATGTCGAATCCAATTCAGATTTTCTCTTTGAAAAACTCAACGAAAGAATACGTTCAGACTAAAGAAACTCGAAGGCTTATATTTCAATCGTCGAATCGGGGGTCGCGTACGGAGTTGGACGGAAAGTCGGGTTGTATCGATTGATAGTGATCGGCTATCGATCGATCTTCTCTAGATCACCCACCGGATAAGCCGCGGTACCAGGCACGACAGAGGTTGGTACCAGCAGCGGTGGTTTAACGCGAAGATCGATGGTGCGTTCTCGATGGCGTCAGGAGGGCCCCTAAATCACGCTCATCGGGATTTAGCGTACGCGAAGACTCCTTACTGCCGTTCGAGTTGCCGTACAATGGCGTTTGTTTTCCGAAAAGAGAAATGGCATACGCATTCGATGAGAAATCAAATTTATCCGAATTGCATTAACTTACATTATACTCGATATACTTAATTTTTGTTGCCGCACAACGAGATCATTATTCATTATTATTATCAATAAAATTTGATGATATCGACTATATATATATATATATATATATAAAATTAACAGGAGAATTTGTTTTGATGACAGAAATCTTTTAATAAGAATCCCTTTCCTCGTATAAATATAGTAAATATCAATTTGCGATACCACGTATAATGAGCGCAAAGTTAATGTCTGTACTATCAGGAAGCTCCGTTTTAGAAAGTGCCCGCAGAAATTATTAGGAGAAAGAGAATGTCGGCTAGTACACCTAAAATTACCACATCTGCGGCGTATGCACCGTAAGCGAGCATACGCGATTGGGATTGAGCGCGGGCGGACATATTAACATTGAATGCTGAAACGGAGCTAGGAGTCGGGTACGGTCCGCGGCATGCATTAAACATCTGCCACATAGCCGCGCAATTCTGAATTATACATCCGTGGCGAAGATAGGCCGATTTGAGTGTCCGCGGAATTGTCCCACCGTGCTCGCTTATTCTTTGGCGATAATCGAAGCCGTCTCGATGCGCGATAACGCCGATAACGGCGCGCACCGCCCGCGAGTATGAGAGAGCTCGTGCGCGTGGGATTTCTTTACCGCAAAAGAGATTAGATCTCACAGTCGCTAGGTCACTGACGATTCGAAAAACCGATTGCGGCACGATAGAAGTGTGTCGTGTCGTAATCGCGCGTTTTGTGCCGCGATCTTGCTTTAATCGCGACGTGCCTCGTAAAGTAATTTTGCTCTACGAACGGTAAAATAATCTTCCATCGACTTTCAAGGTATTAAAGATGAAACTGCAGCTCGATACCCTCGTTTTATTTGAATTTCTTTACGAAACTTTCTGTAATCTTTTTATTGTAAGTTTTACAGACAAAAATACCACATTAAAAAAAATCTTTCAAATTAGACATGTCGTCGATAGAAAATATGCAATTTCCATGAATGCAATTACTTTTCTAATGAGTCTAAATATTCTTGCTACAAAAAGAAAGAATAAACTATGTGACCATAATTTATCACGATATTTAAGATTTTTAGATCTGCGTCGACAGGTGAAAGTTGCGGCAGCTACCGATTTGTCGATGGCTGCTGCCGATATTTATCGCAACGTCGTTGGGATGAAGTGGGCATATCAACGCGTGGGGATTGTGCAGGTGCAACACAAACATCCTACGTACGGAGACAGGCCTACCCGAAGATGCATCTCCGAAGTGAAAAGCGAGCAAAAGGCGCTCGAGACGCCTACGATCCCTGACCCATCGGGCCCAGCGATCTGCCGGGGGAATCGGGCCTTGAACAAGACAATTGTATACGAGAGAGAGAAAGCTGCACCCCGCTGCACCATGCGCGGATGCGTTACGGCACGAATACGAATGCCCGGAACGACCGGAGGTGCGTAAGGTAGGAATTCGCATTCCTGGCCATATTCGGCCCCCGCTCGCGTCGCCTTCTAACTCTTTCGGGACGTCGGCAACCACCGAGACACGCCGCTGTGTTATTCACATTCGCGCGATGCGCTTTCGGTTGTCACTTGAACCGCCAAGTTACACAAAGACCTTTGCGCGGAATACCGAGACGTGAACACGTTTGAACCGACATAGCTTCGAACACGTCGACTGCTCAAGATAGGTCAGCGGAGTCAAAGATGTTTAAGTTGAGGCCAATATTTTTCACATTGCGATCATGTCTCGCGCATAAAAAAAAAGAAACCGTCACAACATCCTCTACATGTTATGGATGAGAAAGTTGAGCATCGTTACTTACCTTAGACATCGCGGCTCCTAAACCAGCCTGACAAGAACCCTGCCTGTGGTAGCCCCAGTACCCTAAAACGGAAACAGACAATTATATCGTTTCATCCTTGATTCCTTCAAACAGAGACATCATATCTCCAGAGTACAATTTGAATAAATTGTTTCCTATTGCGCAAGTGATAATTCGTCCAGATCATTTTAGTTAGATCATTTTCCAACAGTTGACTGAAAAAGTTAGAAATGGGAGCAATAGTAATTTTTCTACATTAAAAACTTAAATATTAATTCCAAAATTAGATACTAACAAAAATTGAACAAAATCGCAAAAGATATTGATAGAGAGTATCAATATAATAAAAAATAATAACAAATATGTAATAAATATAGTAATAATAAATCTTTTTTATCTGCCAAAGGAAAGCTAGCATCTCAAAATTGTTTTAATAGAGAATGCCATTTTTTTTATTGTATAAAGATAATTTATTACAGATGATTGATAGCACAGTTATTTAGGTTTACAATAAACGAACTCACAGAGTTCAATATACGGTGGACACTCATATCGCATTGTATATACCCGCATATACGCGTTTTTGTGATAGTGCAATAAATATCTGAGGAAGAGTAGAAATATGATACAAATATGATACTTAATTTAAGAATAATAAAATGTTGGAACAAGACCCATATACATTTTTAATATAGACAGAGCAGTATATAACGGAAGCTAAAATTTATTTTTATTTATATTCCTTGATTTGAAAAAATGAATTCGGACTGGAACATTCTGTAAATATATTAAATAGATGTGTATGCCCACGTTCTTGGAGTTCCACGCACTTTATCGACTAGGAAGTGAAGTGGCATCGCAGACCGGCTGCACGCACGAGCAAAAGTAGTGCATACATACACGCGTCATTAATCCCAGATCGATCTTCCGCCGTGACGCCTTCGCGATCCGTTTTCTTCGTCTCCGAACCGCCGTGACGAGTCGATAGTGCAAGCTGCACTGTTTTACACAACAGCGATCATGAATAGCGTGGCCCGGGAAACAGCCATCGAGTATCTACGCTCGTTAACTAGATAACGCAACAGCACTTTTAGATAAGCACTTTTAGACGGACGGTAATAACGGCAGCGAAGTCGAAGGGATCGACGCACGACGGGGCAATTACACTGAAATTCTTTCAGTTTGAAAGGGCTCCGCGCGTTTTTGTCCTACCGCGCGCGTTAAGACGAAAACGATTAATTGTCGTGCGATAACACAAAGAACTTTGCTAAAAGGAATTCCGTGCCAGACGAAATCTAACGTAGCAACGATGTCGTGTTAATAGACGAAATCTAACGTAGCAACGGTATCGTGTTAATTATACGTGCGGAGAGTGTAATGCGAGCTCGTAAATTAAAAGAAACGATTTAGCTTAACTAAATACTTTAAAAAGATTAGATTGTTTCCTGAAAAACAACGTACTGAGTATATGAATGACAGAAAATTATACCGGACAATGGACGATAATTGAGTCATCTGACAGAAATGCAATTATCTGCGCGAAGATTAATGATATTCATGCCTTTTTGTAGTCATTCTATTCGAGATAGATAAAATCTCCTATTGTAATATTCGTAACTTATCGCTATCGCCAATTAGAAACCTATCGTAATATCAGCATATCCAATAAATGACAAGAATCAAAAGATAATGGATCAATCTCGTCGACGTAATTACGATGTTATTACGATTAATCGTTGTCATTATTATCGATGAGGGTAAATCAGCGCTAACTCAAAGATTAATCTACCCAATTAACGCGAGGGTATAAATCTGTGGATCTCACTATTTAACGAGGAACAGCATTATACGGAAGTGACGAACAATCTGTGACCACGGGAAAAAATTTTACTTTCCGAAGAAACAGATTAATTCACATTAATATGTATTTTAATTAACTTTGGTAATTTTTACAGCCAGATCGACCGCTTCGCGAGGCGAATGGACGCGATGCAAGGAATTTACGGGTGCCGGCCGTTAACGCGTCGGTCAGTTCCGTAATTAGTCGCCGATGCTAACTGCACAAGTAGCAAATTATCAGGCCAGAGCCGGCTGACAGGGTCAGTGCCATTCAGACGCGGTTGCTGCGGCGGAGCGCGGCACGTCCGCAAGAAAATGCATGCGTGCTTGTATGTGTGTGTGTGTGTGTGTGCGAATATCCGGTGGCTCGACCCGCAGAATCCGACCTTCTTCTACATATGTGCACGTACGTTATGAGCGCAGCGGCAGCGAGCGCTCTTGACAGCCGATCGGTCACTTTAGACGTGCTGTCAGTCACGCAATTACATCAATCCGGTCGCGGTCGCCTTCGTCGTCGCTGACGACAACGACGGCGACGAAAAAGTAGATATAAAGCGAGCGATCGGCGCCACTCGTCGAACATCGGTGACACGCATGTCGCTTCTAAAACAGTGGCGGGACTCAATGTGCAAGCCGATGAAAGTTTCAAGTCACCGACTGCCAGAAAGAGTCTCGTGAAAATAATTTCACTCGGAGATGTCTGCCGATTTTATTTAACCCTTTCGATTTCCTATTTTCTAACAGAAATTTCTAATAGAAGTTGCATGTGAATAGAACTTGCATATTTCTTCAAATTAGAAATTAGTAGGACGCTCAAACTTCGTAAGCGATTAATTTTTATGTGTGACAATGCTAATAGGATTGTTGACGGTTGTTATCGGCGAATCACGATAATGGTATCATTCTCGTGAAGTAATAAAGAGTGCGCGTTCGACCGCGATATCGTCGGTGGTCAATCTATTTATAATCCGTCTCGTCCTCGCGCTTTGCAAGGGTGCTATTCTCGTCGGTAAGAGGCCACTCCGCTTTCAAACTCGAGTCGACATCGAGTACAAGTGGAAGAGAGAAGCTTTTTCTCATCCAACAAGAAAATATTCACGATTTTTTCTCTCTCTCTCTCTCTCTGATGCCGAAGAGCCTCAGAAACGTGTCGCGAAGTGTCCCAAATATAAGACAAGTATCTTTTTTATGTGCGTTTTGATTTAAATGCAACAGCCGGACGCTAAGTCAATAAACGAGACGATGAAAGATTTTGAACTGAGGATGAGTTTGGCCGTGAATGATTTTGACGAAGCGCATAATAAAGAAATCGGAGCGTTACAGGAGACGAGCTCGAGTTGTATGACCGACCCTTAATCGAGTTACGAGGAATGAATGGAGCTACTGTAATTCTTGTTCCACGTGCGTGTGTGCGCGCGTCGTCGGTGCGCGATTACGTATCCTCAATATGCATTATCGGGTCACTTCTTTTATTTAGAAATAGGGCATTGGTCGCAGTGAAAATAAGCAATTTTTATTCATTTCTACATCAATTTTTCAATTAAAGTTAATTTCAATGAGAAGATTCGGATCTTTCAATCAAGACTAATTTCAATTAAGAAACTAGAATCTTTCACTTAAGAGTTCAATCAATCTCACATCACATAAACGCTCGATATAATAATTTATCATATTTTATAATAATTTCAGTAACCACAAAATTGATTAATGTTGCGTGATATTGAAAATTTATATCGGTAATTCGAGAAGAAATCCTTTCTCCAAAGGATCGAACGACGCATTCTTCCTTCTTATACAAAATAAAATACGCACGAAATATATAATTACATATTTTAAAAAATTATTCTAATGAAACTGCAATACCGAGAGAGAAGGAATATGCTGCCGTTCGCTGGAGATCGGTAGCTCGATCGTAATTCAAGTAGGATTAAGTGCTAATTGGCCTCGTTAGAACGGTGCCGAGTTAGCGCCTTGGTCCGAGAGGCGCCTTCCAATTATTATTTTCTTTTTTTTCCAATTCCTCCGAGCCACTCGAGTGAGTGGGGCGCCTTTCATCGAGGAATGCACTTACTGTAAGTAATTCTCCATTGCTATCTTCCTTTTGTCAGTTGCGCACGTGAAAAATGTTTTCCCCTATACGTGCCACCCGACTTGTTCTTATTTGTTTCGAGACTATTAAATATAGTAACAAGATATATGGAGATATATATATATATATATATATATATATATAACAAGATATATAATTACAAAAGACAATCAATGAGAAAGCATAGCCGCAATTAACATTATAAAACGCGTTATAAAATGTAAGCTACTTTGCAGAACAATTCCTCGTAATTAATATTATTGAGATAACAAAAAATAAATTTCGCAGTTGTTCATATAAATATCTGTAGATGCTATACTAGAACCCATTAGAATTATATGTATTCACCGGTTAACCAGAAGTTGAGGTTCAAAACAGGGTCAAAGTGTCATTTCAGCCTTATAAGGTAATCAGAACAATGAACAATGCGATATCCGACCTGATTTCCGCGTAATCATGTTTCGTAAAAATTCTCCAAGACAGCTCGTTATCGATTATGTAATCATTCTTCTTAACTCGTTGGAACTGCCAGTATCGTCCAAGAGATAAGAAATAAGATATACTTTTACAAAATTCTCACCCTTAATATTTTCTATCTTTCAAAGTGCAATGAGTTATACTTTGAAAAGAATTGTTTCACTATCGAAACAAGCCTTTCGTTCATACATTGTTGAATTATATGTTTGTAAAGAAGCTGTTTGTGTTAGGAACTATTTCATACTATGTCCACTTGTGAACTGTTATGGCGATCTTACGAAGAAAATTACAGATGAAAGTCACCGATAGCCCCGCTGTCGCCTCTGCTTGTCCAAGTGGACAACAACGGACGGGCAAACAGACAGCAGAACGATGGACGTTTAATTCCAGAAAAGGCGATTATGAGCGACTTGATTCGAGACTCTGGCGTGCGATAAAGTAACGTCGACACGACGCTATAAACTCCGGGTGAGATCTAACGCCTTGCTAAAAAGACTCTACGATTCCCGGGAAAAGCGGCATCAAGCGGTTCGTTCGCTCGACTCGGCTCCTACAAATTGTTTAATTGCGCGGTCGTCGCGGAATTTCTGGACGATGAGCTCACATCATCGTCGTCATCGAGGCTGCGGGTTCGCTTCCGCACTTTGTGTTCCGCGAAGATATTGCTTCGGTGAATTCTGGTAATATTTATTTGGAAAGCTGCCAGGAGTGCCAGGTCACGCAGCTAACGTCACCCTTGTATAAAAAAGTCTTTTTGTATTTTTTTACAAAGTCTCACGATTAATTTTATACAGTCTTATATTTCGCATGAATTAAAATTTGTATATATCAATTGAAAAAATCGATAAATATAACAAGGAATAAAATTAAGATTTATTGCAAAATCTCTAGGCAGATTGTATTAATTTAGATATAATAGTAAATTATTAAAAGCAATAGTTGTCAATTTTATTGCTAAAAATTCACTGCTCAATTATTCACTTATTGCCTTAAGATTCCAATTACACCGTTTAATTTAATTATTCAATTGTAATTTGCGTTCAATTTAATGCGCACAGAGAGAACGGATATTCGAATTCTCCCTCAAACGACCGGAAGTGTCATAAAGCATGCAGTAGCGACGGGGTGGAGGATCGGTGGAGTCGACGAAACCCGGTGGGGAATCGGTTGCCGAAATGTTCGCTCGCGCGTGAGAAAGCGCGCGACTTTAATTACAGGAAAGTACGATTCTAAAAACGCGCGTCATGTTATTTGCGTCCCAGCAAACAAAACTCGTGAGCTACAGAGCTACGCTAATATAGACTATATGGCTTTAACTGCGCACAGATTTCCATAATATTTTCACAGATAAAACTTTCTAGAATTTAATTGGATTTAAGTAAAAAATGCGGTCCAATTTTCTCCAAAAATCATGAAAAATCTGAAGAAAAATTTATATAAAACCAACTTGGAATAAAAATTAATTTCTCCATTGGTTTTCCAGTGCGATACTTATTTGAGCTTGAATTTCTAATCGGAATCTGTGCGTGGAAAATTTTAAAAAAATTCTGTGGGTTATCAGCAATAAACGTAGTGTACAAAGAAATATTGCACGATCGATATCAGGTCGAAAACAATGAGTGGTTTACAACGCATTGCATTCTGTCTGTATCTATCAATATTTCTAATGCCTGGCGACAACTTGTCCCCGCACATTGATAACCATGAGATAAAAAGATACGGTACTTTTCAAGGAAAATATCAGGAGGTTATCAAAAAATACCAGTGTTATTATCGCGAGGAATAATAAGGACTAAACCTAGAAACTGAAAAGTAAATTTGAAATCGTTATATATGTTTGGAAATAAAATAACGTATTTTCTTTCAGTTTAGTTCGTGATTGCTTCAAAAATCCACGTCGTGAATTACAAAACAGTGATAAAATTACGTTCACTTATATTTATTTTCTATTTCCCCGAAAAAAAAATCAAATCAAATATTCTAATATATAATATCTGAAATTGCTAAGCGTGGTTGCATTCCTGCAGGGGGGTACGCCATTATTTTACTCGCTGACGTAAGTACTGTAAAATTATCGCTAATTATTGGTTTGAAATCATCCAAGTCGGGCGAGACAGTGCCGAAAATCGATATGTCCTTTGTCATTAAGACGACGATGCAGACCTACGTCGTCGGCAGGAAGTATCCTGTTACGTGACGTATTTACGGTCGCTATGCCTGGAGAACACGACCGTATGTCGGCTGCGATCCTTGTCGTGTCGCAAAGGAAATTCGTCCTCGTGAGATCCTCCGGCGAGGAGGAGGACACGGCGGGAGCTACCCTCTTGCGCCTCGAGGACGCGTTCGACTCTGTCTTCGAGAGTGCCTGTTTCACAAATGTTTATAGCACTCACGTCGCGAACGTGAGTTCCAGGCGCACAAAAATCTCGAAAGATATTTTCCTTTTTTTTCCCGCTCTTTCTCGTAAACCGAGCTAAATCCGGACGGCAACGCGACGCGCACACTATAAATCGTACCGCCCTTGAGAGAGAGAGAGAAAGAGAGAGAAAGTTCGATACCGACGACGGGGAGAGAACGGTGAGAGTGGAAATTAAACATTCGCTCCTGCGTTGCTCTGTTTACTTTACCGCGAGGTGAAGCTTTCGTCAGGGACGGGAAGTCTTCAGAACGGTTTTTCGTTTTGTTAACAATTGAAGAGGACGGAGGCGTGTGATAAGATCGCGCGCTTTCTTCGGACAGCAGGTATTAAAATAACGCGTACGAGATGTTTTCGTTGAGATAAAGTATAGATATAAAGTAGATAAAGTAAAGTCCTGCTCTTGGCTTTGTTTCATTTAACTTTAAGTGCGTAACTTTGCACATATGCAAAGCGACTTTTCGATGCTCCGTAAACTCATACTCTCCCTTGTAAAGTTCCAACTAAAAACGCGCGGCTTTGCACATTTGTAAAGACCCTTCTCTGGCCCTTCTTTCCCTTCTGGATGAAAACGCCCTTTTGGGGTTTCCCATGTGTAAAGAGTTCAAATTAGTAAAGAAAAATTTTCAAAACGTTTTTCTAGGTTTCTTTTAAACAGTCATTATTTATTTAAAAAATAGAATGCTACGAAAAATTACGCATTTAAAGGTTAATAGATCTTGTCTTAACAGAACATTCCAGTGTTCGATTTATCGGTATGTCTGACGTTAAAGACAGATTACGAATAGTTTGATTTCCTTTCCTGCTCCATATCATCAAGGATGTCAGAATTCAAGGGAAAGCGCGCAACTTTTCGGAAACTCACTCGTGCGACAAGGCGAGTATTCCTGCGACTCGTTGAAGTTATTAGCGACGACCCAGCACGTGCCCACTGGCTCTCTTCTGTTGCCCGCCGTGGATTCCTTGTTCCACCTATTGTCATCGTACTTCGGCTGCGACACCGAGAACCAGATGTACCTGGGCGCGCATGCCTGCAAACATAAAACAGAGATTGCACCGCTATTAACGACTCTCGACTGCCTTTATCGCGGAGACGCGGTCGTTTGTGCTTTCTAACGATCGCTTCGATCGCAATTAAAGCACGCGTCGTCCGGTTGTCGGTTCCGCCGGTCGTTAAAAGCGCTTACACATCGGGGAGGAAAAGGGAACGCGCGTACGACGAACTTGAAACCGCATGTTGCGGTATGTTTATAGTCTCACCTATACGTGTGACGGCATCACCGTCGACAAATCGCGCATTAAGGCTCGATTCTCACCTTCCATTTAACGTTGAGCCGTAGTCGCGGCCGGTGTAGCGGTATAAATCGCCAGGAAGATAGATTTCTACCATACACAACCGTTTCACAATTATCTCGGCGTGACCACAGGATTTTAGAATCTCCTCTTTGTAGCGCCGTAAAAGAGGCTGCGATAAATTAGGTGGGTTTTACGTTAATTAGTCTCGCATACTTTTCCGTCTCTCACAATAGGGGAAATATGACTGCGTATTGCTGTTCTGCCTAACGGCTCATTTAACGATAAATGTACGGCAGGAATACAGACGTGTTTAGTAACCGCGGGAGGCACATTGCGCAATGCGCACGGATCATTGCCGCATTTAGAGGTGTATACGCGCTTTCCGCGAGATTACAGACGTATTTACGTATACGCGCGGCTCGCGCACTTTGATGATTCCTTAGACGGTAAAAACTCCATTCTGCTGCATAATTTTCGCTGCATAATTTTCGCTCTGCCGCTAAACATCATGCATTACTAGACATTCGATTATTGCAGACAGATACCATTAATATTAAATTCATGCCTTAGGCCATTCTCCCATAAGTACGCCTTACATAGACAACCTGTAATTTGATTCCATTCCGGTAATGCACGAATGATCTTACAAAGTCCCTATTGCACGTAATGCAATCCTTTCCTCCAGAACGGATGTTCTTTCAATAAAAAACGTAACGTTAAGTGCGACGTTGATTTTAGCAGAAAATTAAGAAAATTAAGTTCCTACTTTTTATCACCGTAATTTCATAACTTAAATTCAAACTTGAAAAATTTTAGCTATATATATCGGTACAATTAGAGATGCAATTAAAGTCGATCTCGGCTCCCACATACGTCAAAAAGCTGCAACATAAAATAACTGACGGCTCAAGGTTATGAAATAATTTTTCTTGATTTGATTTCTGGTGCCCGTTATCGAAAGTAAGCAAGTCATGATTGCAAGTGAATGATTGTGAAAAATTGCTCGTTAGAATTTCAAGCAAGATCCTATCGTTCGCGACATGTTTTTTTCAGTCACCGACCAGTCCGAAAGACGATTGCAGAAACCGTTTCGTTAGACGGTCCGGTTTGACCGCGAGCTCTCTCTCACGCACAATGATCGTCGCATTACGTCAATCTGTACTTGGTCAACCAACCAGGAGCAGCTGATGGCCTTAATAACGCGACGTAACGTACGTGCGAGCGGTATAACGGCGGTATTTATGCCCGACGCCTCAGGTCTACGTTGTAAATCTCTCGAAATACGTGCCCGGACAACTCATCGCGAAGCACATTGCACATCAACGCGATTAATCGTTGAAATCGTGAAGCAACTGGCGGTGGCATTCTTCGGGTGCTATCAAGTGTAGCTTTATCGGGAAAATAAAGAACCGCGTTGTACGTACCACTTGCTAATATACTTTAAATGTTTCTCAAGGTTACCAGTAGGCGTAGCATAATGAGGTTGTATAACATAGTCTTTGCGAGATATTCTAGAGCGTCAAGGAAACGTCATTATTTTTTTCATATTTCTGCATTATTATGCGGTATTATAACAAAGATGATAAAATCTCAACTCGTCCAAAGATCGCTCCGAGACGCGTGGTTTCAGAAATAGCACGGTATTTTCTCGCGCGATTGCATAATTTGTCGCTGGCCAACATTTTAACTGTTTTTCAAGGTCGCCTGGGTAAATGGGCCTTAACAAGATGCACGAGAATCGCGTGAACGATGCCTGAGAAAGATGCTGTTTAGTGGAGTAAAATTATACGGGCGTAACGCTCGCGAGGAACTGTGCACACACGCAACCATGCATTATTAATTGCGAGCCAATTAAGGCCTGTTACAACGGTGCGTCATTATGTGCATCCCTCTTGAGGGATTGCCGTGGTCCAACCTTAATCGAAAATTACGAAAGGACTTTTCTCCCGATTAAGTCGTTCCCTAAAGAAAATGTAATCAGGCCGGTGATGGATCCTCGGTACTTGAGATTATCGGAAAGAGTCGTCCTTAATGACGATCCATTTTGTTTCGAGCGGACTAATTAGAAGATATCAGGGACGTAACTGTACTTAAACGACGCGTCATTATCGGTGTACCTCAAATTCGTACGGACGAGCCCTTCGCCAAGGAGGTGCCCGAACTGATTGTTCCGCGAAAGTTTTTGTTCGCGTTCGCAGAGCACGGCTTTTGAAACGATGCCGGCGCAGTACCGCAGGCCGATTGAATGTAATGATCGTCACGCTGCTGGTCTGGCCGGCCTATCGACGATCGTCGAAGGAGGAAAGACGGAGGAGGACGCGAGAAAAAGAAGACGACGCGCCGAAGTGCCGCAATTTATCCATTGCGCCAGTTTAGCTCAATCGCTCGAGTCCGTTCTAGTGCGTGCGATCTGCCCGTTTGTGAACGCCCGAAATCGTTCGTCGTACTTCGCCGATACGGGTCTCTGATAGGCCTGATCTGCCGACAAAGTTAATGTATTATTTCGCATGCGGTATACCCTAAGGAATTTGCATTAAAAGCGGAAAGAAGAGGCGACAAAACGAGAATTCTTCTCTGTTACTCCATTTTAATTAAATATTAATCTAATTTTTCAATCTGTCTAATGCATTAGACAAAGGTTTCATTATTCTTTTTTTTTCTATTTCAATCTATGCATTGTACGTTCATCAAACAATAAGATTATTCTTTATACGTTAAAATATACTGCAATTTTGCTCGGGGAGGGGGGGGGAGGTGTGAAAATAAGAACTATTCTGTCTGAGAAATACCAGAAATCCTGCCTTCGAAATGCAACATGATACATTGACACGCGGACGAGAATGCATGCCGTTAGGAGTCTTGAAGGCTTCCTTTACGCACGACTAAAAGCACAATAGCTGGAAATAATCAATCGCTGGAAAATGCGATAAATTATCAAGCGCGAGGTGGAATAGAACGGAGCTCCGATCTCATAGCCTCGAGAATGCGTTTCGACGATGCGAAAACTCGTGCTTCGCAATAAGCGCAAATAATTCGCGGTTCATTAGACAGAACAGAAGAATCTAAATGCCGCTGGCGATACGCCACTAAAGACGAGCCTTTGACTGGTATAGGGCAGCTCGACCTCACGGCTTTTGCGCAACCAAATCGCCGTGAACAAACACTGCTAATAGCCGGAAATTAGTTCCATGAAACCCGACTGTATATTTAGGGCGACGATTAAATACATAACCACGAGAAATTAGGAGATACTGTTTTCCTTTTGTGTGACAAAGTCACGCAATAAATGTCGTTCAAATTTGTAGAAATAAAAAAAATAACCAAGATATTTCTGCAATATTCATTTCTTTTTTAATACTTTCTACAGCGAAAGTGAATCGCTTTGTGCAAAATATTTTCTAAAGAGTAACGTGAATAATCTCACGACAGAAATATTAAAAAATCCATAACATTTAATTTTCAAGTCGTTTCCTAGATACAGTGCAACGGTGCATGAAGAAGATTACAAAGGAGTCCCGCAAACATAATTAAACATCGACATAATAGTCGTGTATCAGACAATCAGACTGCGCGATGATGATTCGGAGGAACATACGTGATGAAATTTCGAAGGTGTGGCTGGTTCGCGATTTGCGCTTCATTAAAGAGCGCGGAAGAATTTAAGGGGGAAATAACAATGTGTATGGTGTATACGTGTGTACACGGGCCGCTTTCGAACAAGCGTTTCGTGCGGCAGGAAGCTCGCGGCAATGAAATTGCCCCGACGAAAGTAACGTGCGTCTAATTGTAAGAGAACGGGAGGAAGGGAATAATAATATCCGTCTACCGCGGCGGGCGCGTTCCGCCTCGTCTCGTTCGCTTCTCCTCTCCGATTGCACGCGCGCGCGATCTACTCTTCATTAAAAAGGACCACTTGAGCTTAAAGATGGTTAATGACACGGTACTTTTAATGTCTTCACTCGGCCGCTCTTCCTCGTCTTTCACCGACGCGACGGCAACGCGCAAGAACCGTACGGCGCGGCGCCGCGTAACTTTTTCCCCGTCCCGTCGCGTCGGCCCATGCACGAAACGCCCTTAAACAGGCCGTTAAAGTGAACGAGAGCTCCCTTTTCACTCGGTCCTCTCTTCGACCGAGCAGCGCAAAAGCCTACGAAATGTTCAAGATACGCCCAAAGAACGTTTGAAAGAAGGTCTCTAGAGATGGTTTCCAGACGTTTGCGGCGTCTGCCTCAGAAAATTCTTCTTGCTTGAAAATCGCATATCGGCGTTCTCGAGTTTCTCTCTTTGCATCTCTCTACAAGTTTTTCATTTCCGTTACAGGGCAAGTGCATTATAGATACAACGCGCATAAAATGGTGAGACACGTTATTGTAATCTGCAACACCGTTTCGCTTGGCCAAGCAAGATCTTCCCATGCTCGATGCACTTATCAGAGCGTACTTTAGGACCTCGGCGGCGGCGACAACGGTTGCCTGGACGCGCACGTGCGTAACATGTTTTGAACAATAAAGGTCGAACGTAATAAAGAATAGGACGACCATGCAGGACTATATATGTTTTCGAATCCGTAAAGTTTGAACCTTAAGGACCACATTAGGCCAGATTCAACCTTGTGACAAACAGGCATCAATCTATTTTCGACTCGAGTGACGTAAACAGCGGTTTTTCCCATTCTTCCTTTCTCGAAGAAGTCGCATCGAATGACCTGATTAGCGAATGTTAAAATCTTCCAGAA